TGGATAACTGAACATAACCAACCTGTTTAATGTCACTGAACCATACGTGTCAAGATTGTTGACAATAGCCAATAGTGTGCCACCTATACAGATTTACCACAATCTTAAAAAAGATAAAAATTTTTAAATAAAAATATAAAAAGAAGTGGCTCCAAGCGAGGCAAAGGTAGCAGCAGCCCCACTCCACACCAAGGAGCCAGATGCCGGCACAGTGTGGAGGAGGTGGGGCCTGGAAGCACAAAGAGCAAGGGATTGGGGGGAGAAGGAGAAGAAAGAAAGGTGGACAGGAAGTGGATTTGGGACGGTCAAGGGGATTATGGGAAGTCAAAGGTGCAGAGGGAACGGAGCAGAACAAGCTGAGGGGCAGAGGCAATGGGGAGCTATAGCAGGCTTTAGAGCAGAGGGCGACAAGAGCCTGAAGCAGCCACGGCAGGGGCGCAGCCCACCCCTGGCCCGGCCAGCCCATACCCAGGCTGTCCCCAGGACTGGGGGTGTCCTTCTGAGAGGCGGCGGACCGCTGCGCAGGTCTGCGGGAGTGTCGCTGCTCCGTCTGCTCCAGGGACAGCACCACTCCGGTCTCTTCTACCCGGCTGGGGTACAGGGCGGAGAGGGGACAGGAGTCAGAGAAGGGCCGGCCCCTCCCAGGCGGCCCCCTCACGTGGGGTCCTGTCACAGGTAGCGTCCTCAGCCAGGGGCTGGAAGGCGTTTTGAGGAAAAGAATTTGCCATGTGTACTTGTTTCTTTGAAGGCTTTCGGGTTTTGTTGCCTGCTTTTCGTGGTAACGGCATTTAAAAGAAAGCGCAGCGTCGCCTCCCAGGCCCCCTCCGCGGAGGGGAAGACAGAAGGGCTGGTATTTGGCATGGGGAGTGGTGAGGAGGAGGAGGGAAGTCCAAGGGCGAGAGAGGAAGCGAGAGGACAGACTGAGGGACAGAGAGGGGACAGACTGAGGGACAGTGAGGGGAGATCGAGGCACAGAGAGATGGGGAGACCGAAGAGGGGGTGGGAGGAGTGAAAGGCAAAAAACCTATTCCTTCCAGCTATATCCTTAAGGACATAGTCTTATAAACATATTGTTGAATACGCTTTCAATATATTCTTGATCATGTTACCAAATAAGGATTGATAGGGACATATGTTTATGGATAAGATCATATTTATGATGACTCTATTCATAGGCGTTTTTCACATGCAAGGGGAAAGATTTCTAAATACAGCCGTATGGCCCCTCCACCTCCCGCCCCCAGTCTCCAGCTGCAGAGATGAACCTCATCCCATTGGGTGTCTGATACACAAATCAGTGACTGGGGAATTGGTCCCAGGCTGAGGACCACCTTCGTTTGCATCTCATTTGCATAACGTCCTACAGGAAGGTGTGTGAGCCGGCCTGGGACTCCCAAACCAAAGCAGTTGCTAAGGAGTCAATTTTGACTCTTAGTGGCCCTATAGAGCAGAGAAAAACCACCCTCTCGGGTTCAGCAGACTGACTATCTCATCGTTCTCCTGTAGAGGAGTTGGTGGGTTCGAACTGCTGACCTTTTGGTTAGCAGCCAAATGCTAAAGGC